GTAGGGGAAAAAAATCACTAGAGCCAAAATAATTTTTTCTAAGTTTTACATTTATATTACACATTGACATATTTTAATTTGTAAAACATTTGTTCAGTGGTTTGTATAAGTCCCATAAACATAAGGAATTTAACTCCCATTGACGGTCTAATGGCAACCACAGGACCCCAGTTTTGATGGCAAAGATCAAAATGATTGACAGCTAATCCAGAGTGGTAGATTGATGGGTTCCCAAGCCAGGTACCATGTTTGGCATTTGCTTCAGTATGTTAGACACATATGAACACAGACTCAAGTACAGTATTTTAAATTGTATGTCTCTGTTAATTCATATGAATTCTTTGAAATGATTCAGACAGAATTTCTTCAATTATTTATCATTATACAAACACACACATGATTAAGAATTTTGGCTGAAAACCTGCAGATGTGTGGGAATATGCTTGTGGCCTCCAGTTCTCCCTCTGTCTCACCCTTACCTATAGGCTCATCTTGTAGAAACATTGATCTTAGTTCAGTTAACTGAGTTGTGTGGACTCATTGACTGGGATTTCGGGAAGGAACTTCAAGTGTTGCCTGCAATGCTCCTTTCCTCTGTCCTGCCTTTCTAGAGTAGCCTTGTGTGTGCAGTCATTCTTGTTCAGTGTAGTAGTGTACCTGTCCCAGGCAAGACTGGCTCCAGGAGTAGTGTTTGGGGGAGTTAATATTGGAGAAAATGGATCACATGAAGGATCTAGATTATGGTGTTTACAGTCATTATCAAATTAGTCTTACATCCAAGAATGGCAGATATTTCCCATATATGTGTTTATGCTTACTTAATTAGACGTTCAGTGCTTCTTATAGCTAAATAAAAAAGATTTATAGATTATTACCCTGTTAGGGAATTACAATTTAAAAGAAAATCTTTTCCCAACCCAGAAATTCTCTTCACAGAGATAATAGGAAGAGAGAATTATTTACTATTGAATGAACATTGAAAAAGAATATAGTGTACATCACAGGCAATCCACTAAGCGAGTGAAAAGATAGGAAAGAATCTCATCTCCTTGTTAGCCACACACGTACGTTTTCAAAATAAACAGTAACTAAATATAAGACTTGTCATGCTAGTTCATCCTGTTTTTTACCTGTTAATTAGAGAGACTGTGTTAGCTGACTGGCCTTATCCACAGTGGAAACAAATTTCTTATTTTTTTGCAGGAAGTAGTTTAGCAACTTGGAAAAAGGTACCTGCCCAAGTTAGGCTCCTGCCATTCCACAGGAACTAGAATGCTGTGTCCTCTTATGTTTGATGTTCATTTGAAAGAGATGGCTTCCCAGTCCTTGAGAGAGACATTCTAGTCATTAGCTGCCATTAAAAAAAAAAAAAAAAAAGGACCTATATACCACTTCTTTGGAAGAAAGGAACAAGGACTTAACAGTTTTTCCAAAGTAAGGCTTTAAGGAAACAGAGGGGAGGGAAATCTGTTCTCTTACTTTCAACAGGAATAATTAAGTGTCTTATTTTTGTTTGCCCTTATGCCCTTAATTTGCTTCTATCTTAAATATAAGGACCTTGATCATGTTCATTTTATAGCAGCACTATGATGAACAGAACCGACTTTAAATGCACTTATAATTTGGTTTTATTCCAATTTAAACCAAATTGTGATTTAGTTTTATTCATGTAAAATGTTTGATTGTTATATAGTTAGGATTTCTTAATGTAGAAGAGTGATGTCAGGAATTCAGCATAAGATAACTAGACTAAGTCATCTTTTTAATAGCTGAACAGGCATTCTGTGATGTTAGCAGCTTACAACCCTGAAGCCAGGAAATAAATGATATAAACATGACCCTAAGTAGAGAATTGGAAAAGGACTTTTTTGGGGATGGGGGTGGGGGTTAAGTATTTGTTTTCTGAAGTTTATTTTTTTTTTTCTTTTAAACCTTCAGTGATTAAAACTTTAAATTTCCTATTCTTCCTGACAACAAAATCAGGTTGATACCAGGTTGATATATCAGATATATCAGTATACTGTAAGTCACTACAATATAAATCACATAATATATTTAAAGAATTAGAATCTATCCAAAGGTTACTTCTTTACTTAGATCCTGATTAGTTTTTAGCTCCCTTCACCCCATCAGCTCCTTGTCTTCCTTCCCGGATCCTGTTAGTATGTTGCTGTGCACGCATCCCCATGTGGCAGATGAGCCCCTCTCGGTGTTACTGTGGTGATGCTCCTTTGCCCTTCTACCATCTGTATGGGCGTGTTATCATCACATGCCGAGCTCCACTTCGTACACCTGCTGGGCTTAATATTTGCTCTCGGAGGTGCAATTTTCCATCAACCACTTCCTCCTGAAAGAGAGGCCGGAGGGGGATTCCCCTTGGTGATCACACCTTTGACTTCCTAGGCTATGACCATATCACACTCATTCGTGGCTCTTCGGAGTTACAGTTCTCTTCCCCACTACTCTAAAATCTCGTTTCACAGCATGAACTGGTGGTTGACACTTTACGGACTTCATACTCATGCTGACCAGCCTGGCCTGGCGACCATATGTTTTGATCTTTCCTGACCAGTACATGTTTCTGTATATTTCTTGTTTCTTCTTGAAAGAAGAGCATTTCCACCCTTTAATCTGTATCTAAGTGAAATGCAGTACCTGGCTGGCTGAGTACTGCTAGCAAAATTGACCCTTTATTCCCCTTTGCCTGCCTGCACTAGCACCGACATTTTATTTTTCACAATATTGATTCCTGCCAGTCCCTCAAAAATGAGTGCTAAGATATGTAGAGGACAACTTTTAACTCCTTGCTGTTTACTATGTGGAGAGAATGCCAGTATTCAGAATGTAGGAACCTTAACAGTCTGTTTGATATTTATTTAGGAGTTTCTGCATGAACTGAAAATTGAAAACTAATTACATAAATTGCTAAACTTTGATTTTTTTCCCCACTGTTTCTGCCTCTAAGATATCTATTGCACAGAGTACAGAGTGATTAGTGAAGAAATTAGGTAGAAATCCAGTTGATAGAATTCATTCCACTCTGTGATAAGCAGGTTATAGGGTTTTTTTGGAACCACAAGCCCTTGACTAGATGCTCATTGTAAAAGTAAGCTAGGTCCTATGCCACCAGTTATTTTAAAAAATATGAACTTAATTAGAGTTTCAAGATGATGTCTGACATCAGGAAATTTCTTTTCTGATTAAGGTTTAAAAATTCTCATCTGCATATACATAGTTCAACTGGCAGCAGTTTTATTCTTTACTATTCCTTTTATTTCCTTGTATGTTTCTTAGACCTCACTAGCTTGTATCATGGGCCTCAAGCCTTTCTCTGGGCCTTTGTTGAGTTGTTTCACTTACAGCATGTACCATGGGTTCATCAAAGTTCACTTGCGTCTGTAGAACCACCATATCCATGTAGGGAGGATACTAGGATCTAGAATGTTCCATTATCACAGCATGGCCACTGCTGACTCAAATGCAGGGCTCTGGAAATCCAGAGAGCCTTCTTCAAGAGGGCCCTGCTGCAGAATGCCTAGAATGTGCTGCTTGGGTTAACCTCTCTTGAATTAGAGAAATGTGTGAGCCATAATGCCTGCAATTGTGCTTTTTTACAGAGCCAAGAACCTTTTGTTGATTAATAAATAATGGGTTATTTATCTGAGAATTGTTTATATTGGCAGATGCCCTGAAAGATTCAAAAGGCTGTCTGTAAATGTAGAATGCCCTCATTGTTTATTCAGCTCCTACTTTTTTACTTAATGTAAGGATATCTTGGGAAGTTGTTTTGAATATCAAATCACAAGTAAAATAGAAGCAGCCCCCTGCTACCACCATCACTGATTTTTCAGATAGGCCATTTAACTGTGCCCTGTGTTCCAGTGTCTGATGATTTGTGTGTCTGTATGTCCATAGATGACTGGAACAAGAAAGGGCTGTGGGTAATGAATCCAGAAGTTTGCCATCTAATTGTATCTGTCACAGAGAAATTCATATACATTTCTGGTGGACTGTGTAACTAGCACAGATTAGCTGCTGGAATTCAAATAGTACCTTGTGCAGAGTGAGAGGCAGCTGGGATCACATGGGTTGTGACTTAGGAAAGGTGGATGGAGGTAAGTTTGATACTTGATGGGGGGTCACCAGCCAGGGTGGCAAGTTGGATGTTGGCAGAAAAAACAAAAGTTTTCAGCAGATCAGCAGGAATTATTGGAACTCTAAGAGCATAAAATGCTTAGGAATAGTCCTAATAAAATCAAGTATTCACCAGATAATGAAAACCCTGAGTCTTCTCAAACAGGAATAAATGCCTTGATGACATGAAATCTTGGTCAGATACACATATAGCCAAAAGGGCCATTTTAACAGTAATAGTAGTTTCTTGTTAGGACTCAAGTTGTGGTGGAGACTTTGCATTTGTAGAAAATAAAGATGAGTTTGAAGAGTGGGCTTATGATGTGTGTGATATAGAAGGTGAAAAAAAAGGAGAGACATTTCTTTTCTGCGTATCATTGCATCCCCAGTGTTAACAAATAGCGTTGTCTATGTGTTGTTTAATAACAGTGTTTGAGTATCTATTGCAGAATAGCTGACGACTTTTTCTGTTTTTTCATGTGGCTTCTTGGCATTCTTGCCTTCTATGTCACAAGAGGCAAAGGTTAGAAGTATGATAATTGGCCAAATAGTTAAAACATGTTCTAGTGGGGAACAAAATCTTGAGTAAAAGCTAATTTATAGTGCTTCTGTGTAAGCTATAGAAGATTGTATTTTTGTACTTTAGAAAATACCCACGAATGGAATATCTTTTATCGGTTGAGTTTATTGAATTTATGATGAAATAAATGTATGGGATTTATTTTTGAAAACTTTTCTATATGTTTGGACACCTATAACATTCAATTGAGAGAAAGAAGAGGAAGTATGGGTTGTGTGCACTTTGACTAGTGATGAAATTACTTAAGTGATGAAATTAAAATATGTTTTTACGTCTCTTTTTTTAGGTGCTGGTGAATCTGGGAAAAGTACAATTGTGAAACAAATGAAGTAAGTAGATTGAAAACATTAAATTTGTTTTTTATGCTCCGTCAAAGGAACTAAATGTTCTTTTTTCCCCTTTGTCTCTTTAGAATTATCCATGAAGCTGGTTATTCTGAAGAAGAATGTAAACAGTACAAAGCAGTGGTCTACAGCAACACTATCCAGTCAATTATTGCTATCATCAGAGCTATGGGGAGGTTGAAGATAGACTTCGGTGACTCAGCTCGGGCGGTAAGTCACTAAAATTCTTTGTAACAGGCCTGATGAGTAAAGAGAATAACTTGCATGATAATACATGATATGATACATAGATTTCTCAATCATCTCTAATCCATTTGATAAAAGGAATCAAAAGGATAACAGTGAGAGAAATGAGTCAGAAACTTTATAGAAGTGAGTGAAATGAGAATACATAGGATTATATGATCTTGCCTTTATAGTTAAGTCCTTTCCTTATCCATCAGATGGCCTGGACAGTCCCATGTTTTCTATGCAACATGGTGTTTTGTCCCTTGGTGTCGCCATAATAATTGTTAGTATTTACTACTGAGTTTATAGCAAACAGTCTATACTGACATTCTTCAAATTGTTTTTTCAATTTGGAAAGCTGAAATGATTTATTTGTGTTCATGCCCAGACTAAAAAGCACTCTCTCTCATTAAATGAAAAAGTATTTCTTTGCCTATCTCTGGAATAGGAAAATGTTGGCTATTACAAAATACTAGAATTTCACTGCTAAAGGGGATATTTGGGAGACAAGCTAGATAAAATAAAGGGGTGGAACTAGCTTATCAGTAAAGAAACTAAAACCCAGGAGATCACATGATAGAAAGATTGCCAAAGTGATAAGCAACCACTTCCTTTTTTGATCTAGTAACTTGTTTTTTGTTTGATTGGAAGCAGCTCTAGTTCAGTCCATACACAGTCTTTTTTCCTCTTCTCATCCAGCTCATGTGCTGGCTTAAAACTGTTTCAAGTTTGTCATTAAAGTAGTTAATTTTTCACAGATTTTTTAATAACTGATGTAAAATTTGACCTGTCTAAAACCTTGTAAATCAATCTCTAGCTTAATTTATAATATTTTTGCACCAAGTAGGTGATTACTACTACTTTTTATAGTTCCATCATATTTTTATGTATTCAAATTGTGTGTGTGCTTCCTACCATGAAGAATGTTGGTGTAGACTCTCTAAGTTTTTCTTTTTGTCTTTTTAGTTTTTGCTAGAACTTTTTTATAGCATAGAGGCTCAATTCATAGTTAATAGGGAAAAATTGAGTGAAAGTAACAAAAGAAAAATTTTTGCTAGAACATTTTTTTAGCATAGAGGCTCAATTCATAGTTAATAGGGAAAAATTGAGTGAAAGTAACAAAAGAAAAATTTGTATAATAAATCTATTATAAATTACTTTGAAATTTCTTTATATGTTAGAGACAGTCATTTATTCAATTTTCCTTTTAAACAAAAATTTAAAAACTTAGTGTGATAAATTAAAATTTTTCCAAATTTCTCCCTAGAAAGCTTAAATAGAATATATTTTTAGGGCCTCCCCGGTGGCGCAGCGGTTGAGCGCTGGGTTGCGAAGCTGCCCGCGGCCTCTGCAGCGCCGGTTCGATCCCCGGCTGCTCCCCGGCCACTGGAGGAGGGTCCCACATGGTGCGCAGACCTCTCCTGCCGCCTGCTGCTCCCCTCAGCAGTGTACTTCGGTCCTTCTGCCTGTTCTGTTCCCCACTCTGGCTCTGGTGAATTCTCTCACCCTCTCGCGCTTCTGACTGTACCCAGTGCATGTATAAACCAACCAAACAAACAAATTATAAATAAATAAATAAATAAATAAGACATGCCTCTAGAAAATTAAAAAAAAAAAAAAAAAAAAAAGAATATATTTTTATCCCATACCAGAGGGCATTAGTGTTTTCTGTCAGGAAATTTTGTTGATATTGAATGAAGATACCATAATTAAAGCTCAATAAAAATGCACATAAATGAAAAGTACTTTCTAAAATGGGTGGAGAAAATTGCATTTGATTATATTTAATTAATACAAATGAACAAATTTAGAAATGTCTTAGTTAGAAATATCACCTAAATTATTTAGGTGATTATTTGGAAAATGAATAATTCTTTGCTGGAATTAGGTTAATGGTGCTAAGAATGACTTGAAACCATGTTATCTTGAAACAATGTTATCTTGGGGTTTATTAAGGATATTGTACATGTGTTACTTGCATACATTTCTCTTGTGATTCAGTAAAAAGGGAAACATATGCTTGAATAATATGTTCTCATGATGAGATAATTATTTTTCATGATTGGTTCCATCTGAAAAGTAAATGTCTCTCAAACTGGCAGCAGAATAAATTTATATTGTTGGCTAGTGTTCTCTGGTATTCTGACACTAATGCTTTTATTCTGTATACCTTATAAAGTAGGTCATCACTTTAGAAGCATCTATAATAGTTTGAGAAAAATTAGCAGTTGACCAGTAATATAAAGCTCTGAGAATCTCTGTGAAGATAGCAACTTTTTATTTCCCCTATTTTAAATTAACTTTCCTCTTACTTGCAGACTAGAGTTGTTATTTAGTACTGTAGTTACTACTTGTGGTTATTGAGTAGTTGAATGTGCTATCTTTATAAAATGCCACACTCTGAAGAGTACATATAAAAAAAGAATATAATATCTCTCAGTAGTTACATGTTGACATAATAGTTTATGTATAGGGCCTCCCTGGTGGCACAAGGTGTTAAATCTCAGCACTATGAAGCTTATTGGCAGCCACTGAAGTGCGAGGTCGATCCCCAGCCAGGGAGCTAACCCACACAGCGCAGCAGACCTGTCCTGTCTTGCCCACTTCTCCCCTCAGCAGTCTATTTCAGTAGATCTGCCTGTTCTGCTCCCCACTCTGTCTCTGGTGAATCCTCTCACTACCCCCCTACACACACCTCTGGCCTACACCCCAGCTCTTATATGCATAAATAAATAAATCTAAAAAAATAGTTTATGTGTAGGTTAAAATATGCTAAAATTAATTTTACCTTTTTACTTTTTTAAATTAAGACCTGCATCCCTGACTCCCTTATTTTTCTTTTGGACAGAACTGTGGCTGCTGATTACCTGTGAATCAGAGTAGCAAAATATTTATAGTCTCAAAACTTTAAATGTTTTTACATGCTGTCTTCTATGTGCATCATGACTTTCTAATCCAAAACTATGCTTATTTGGTTTCCTGTGCCTGGATTAGCAAACACCCACCTGTGGCTCCTGGTTCATTGATTTTAATGTAGGCATACTTCAAAGTCTCTTGAAAAATCTCATACTATTCTGTGAACTATTCTTAATCCACATTGATTTCTTCTCTGAACTTGTTTCCAGAACTGTATCAGAAAGCTAACGTTTAATTAGTCTATCTTAATATATCCTAAAGATATTGATTTTTATATTAGAAATATCAGGAGGGAAGGGCAAGGCATAGATATTTTTGTTTTCTCAGAATTGATCATCTTTAGTGCACAAGACTACCAGTGAATAGTTGGTTATGTCCCCTTTTTGAACTTAAGTGTAATTACTCTTATAGCCTCCTAGAGTCTTGATAGAGAGTATTGCAAAACAGACCTATGACTTAAGATTATGCTCTTTTGTTTAAGCCACTGTTTAAAATGCTGCTTTAGATAAAGATAATTCACTATTGCATTTTTTGGAATCTGTACTGTACTTCTTTGTACTTTGGTACTTTTTATCTATCGGTGTCTATAAAAATCTCTCCTTTTTTTCCTTTGTTCAGGATGATGCTCGCCAACTCTTTGTGCTGGCTGGAGCTGCTGAGGAAGGTTTTATGACTGCAGAACTTGCAGGAGTTATAAAGAGATTGTGGAAAGATAGTGGTGTACAAGCCTGTTTCAACAGATCCCGAGAGTACCAACTTAATGATTCTGCAGCTTAGTAAGTAATCAGAACTTCAGAACTAAACTATCATGAATAATTACTTGTAAGTCAAATATACCTCCAAGTCAATTTTATTGCAGAATTGGCTGACATATTCTTATACAACTCAGGATATTCAGGATGACAATATTTGAAAACCTTGTCTCTTTTGCCTGTGTTTGTAGACAGCAATGCTGTTACTTCCTTTGTGTTCAAAGGTGTCTCCAGAGACTCATGCTTATGCAACTCTAATTGAAACATGGAGAAAAGGGGAATGTTTCCAGTATATTTCCAAAAAAGTAATCAAAACTTCCCAGAGTTCACTCTGAATTGGAGTATATCTCTAGTTTACTGGGACTAGCCAAAGGGGACTAGCTAGTGGGGAGGGTAACTTAGTTGGGTTCTTTTTATTTTAATAGTGGAGAGAAGAGTTACTTATCCAGTAGACATGCTGCACCCTGGGGGAGGTGGGGGAGGGAGGTGCATGATGATTCCAAGATATTTTCTCACTTAGTTAAATAACTCTATACTTAGAAAATATGTGTGCCCTGTTGGCTTAGACATTGATTACAGATATCTAAGTATTTTGGAAGGGAAGTCTGCCCTGATTTTCCAGGCAGTGACCCCAGAAAGTTTATAAATCGAGTTGCGATAAAACCTAATTGAGGAAACTTTCTGCTTTATGATCTACATAGAATAAACAAAGTCATGTATCTTTGCATAATTAAGCACACATTGAAAAATGCCAGATATGAATGAATAACATTAATTGCTCTCAAAACATGTAATGTGCACTCATTTTACTTTCCAAGATAGTTTCATTTTTTAGACTGGTCTTTTACTTGTAGGGACACAAGTGAGGATTACATAGAAGATGAAAGATATTAGAAGACCTTTATAAAAACATGAACTTTGCCACAATGAAAAACTAAAGTTTGTTAGTTTAGTCCTTGCTGTATGTTACATGAATATAAGAAAGTCAATAATGCATGCTATTGTATAACCCATAACTTTTATAGTACTATATTAATCTGCATTTTAATGATTTATATGCATTAATTGCAACATTTATATAATTGTAATATTTTGTAAATATACCATATATTTTATTACATGTAGTTTATATATGTAGTATATGACGTGACATCTTAAATATATAGCTCATCTCTTCAACCACTTTCATTCTACTCAGAAATATTCTTTGATGCAGGGCCTTCCGAGTGGTATAGGGGTTAAGATTCAGCACTGTCACCTCCGAGTTTAATTCCCAGTGAGGGAGCTAATCCACATATAGTGTAGAAGACCTCGCCTCTCTTGCTTTTTGCTCCCCATTTTGTCTCTTGTGAATCCTCTCACCACTACCCCCACATCTCTGGCCTACACTCTAGTTCTTGCACATGCAAAAAAAAAAAAAAATTATTCCTTGATTCACCAAGTAAGCTATTGTCTCCCCGTTTTGTGTATTCATAATAGAATGTAATTTCTTTCATAGCACTCACAGATTTACATTTACTTTGAGGTCATTTGATTCATACGTATTTTTTTATTTATTTATTTATTTTGTTTGTTTGATGGTTTGTTTATACATGCACTGGGTGGTTCTGGTGAATTCTCTCACCCTCCCGCGCTTCTGACTGATTCATACTTATAATGAGACTATTAGATTATTTTCTGTCTCTGCCACCAAACTGTAAAATCTGTATGGTCTGTTTTCATCTAATTTTGTGCCTCCATTGCCTGACACAGTCGTCATTCAATACGCCCTTGTTTAATAATGAATGAATGAACAAACCAGACTTTAGGAAGGATAGAAGAGCATGAATGCAACTCTTAGACCACAATGTTTACTTTGGCACCTCCAGTGCTTTCAGAGAAGATTGTTCTGTGCTGCACCCAGCAAAGGTAGCTATTTCAGTAATTAAGGGGTATTTCGTAGGACATACATTGCAGTTCTCTTCTCATATGGCTGAACTTCCCCAGCCCCTGGAGTCTATTGATCAAGACCCTTTCTCTTGTGCACAGCACTTAGACATGCAGTGGGAAAATATCACTTTGGCTTCCCATAATCTTATTACTAACCTTAAGATGGCAGTAATGGAGTTATTGGTCAAGAATGAAGGAAGTCTTAGAAAGCACTTTCACCATAGCTGTTGGAGGATTTCTCGATATATGTTTTTAACTGGAGATGGGGGGGGGGTCACTAAGTTTCCCTTTCACACTTTGAATTTGTGATCTTTTAAAACAATTGGAGTTTTTCACAATACCCGTTTTTCATTTTGTCTTGAACTATAAATGTGTATTTTTAGAGACTATTAGAATTATAGTAGTTTTAAGCAAAGAAATGTATGTGAATAATCAGCACATATATTTTAAAAGTCACTTTCAGAATTTGCATGGCCTTTTGTTTATTAAATCATATTTAATTTGATTAAAAACACATGTACTTGGGAGATTATCATCTTTGATAGTAAGATAATATATTATTTTTAATTCAGTAACTCAGGCTATCTTAGATATATTTGGTTCTTAAGTCAGCATTTGGGTAGCTTTCCAGCTCCATCCTTAACAAATCAAGTATTTATTGAGCACCTTTTGTTTGTAAGTCCTCTTCTAAATGGCAAAGGAACAGTTTTAGAGACTAACACCAACCAATTAAAGTTGTAATAATCAGAGCCTCTCTATACCTAGTTTTTCTAACATATCTTTCACTATTCTACTCTAGTACTACAAAACATTGTACTGTTGCTCCCCACATTCAGCTGACCTTAGACTTAATTCCAGACTTCTCATTTTAAGGTTGTACCTACCTATTAATGGTGATGTTACTTTTTGAGAAGCAAAACTTGGTTATTCCTGTCTCTACTGCCTTACTCCTCCTTATGAGAATGACATTTCCTTTTTTTCCACCCTATCATTCACATTTTTATTTATATCCCACACTGTCCATGAATCCTTCTTTAACCACTCAGGTTCACATTAATTTCTCCATTTCCCTGGCTTTCATTGATACTAGCTCTACCATATAATTTGACACAAGATAATTTAAATAAAATTATTACATGGTATGACAGCTCTACATTTTTATACCCCAATATATTTGGCATCATGGGCAGAGAGTGTTGAATGGTTCTCTAAAATGAGAAGTTAAATATGAATATGAAATTAGAGAGCCAATGCAGAGTATAGGAGAATATGTAGTCTTTTTCTGTATTGAAAAGGAACAACATGAAATTCAACCTTTGGCTAGTGGTTTTCTCACTGTATCTTCAACAAGAGTGTTGTCTGGAACACTGAGGGTGCTGCATCAAAAAAATATGATAATTTTACATGTGTGCAGTTTTTCAAGAAGTTATTACTATTCCATTTTCTTTCCCAATTAAGAGCCTTACAGAGTACACTCATTTTTAAAAACATGACTGGAGAAGTATTAACAGTTGCATTTCAGTGGGAATTTGTAAGATAATTTAAATTGGTTGTATCACATTATTACAAACTTTGGAATATTGTATGTACCAAAATGGTTTTTTGTTTTGGCTGTATTAACTATTAGCATATTGCTTTGTTTGTTCTTTCAGCTATTTGAATGATTTGGACAGAATAGCACAACCAAATTATATCCCAACTCAACAAGATGTTCTCAGAACTAGAGTGAAAACTACAGGAATTGTTGAAACTCATTTTACTTTCAAAGATCTTCATTTTAAGTGAGTAGCTTCAAAACATGATTTATAAATTTAGATACATGTTTTTTAGAGTTGTAACTAAAAAAAAAAACTTTCTTTAGATGATTAGACAAAATAATTTGGGGGTAAAGGAGGGCAAGAAGCATTTTAGGAAGAAAATATTTTAAAAATAGGCAAATTCCTTTTGCCTACATTTTTCACAGTGGTGTAGCTCATTTTTCTAAATAGAATGTGCTGTTTAGTGTACATTTTGGGAGAAGTATTGCCATTAAAATTTTCAAGTTAAAGGGTTTTAGTGATATGATATATTGTCACTTATGAAAATGTTAAGAGATAGTAATCGAAAACTTTTATTCATAGTGAACTGATGTTTACACTGACGATGAGAAATGTTCATTTAATTTAGAGTGTAATGAAGACTGATACACAGGTATGAGCAGAGAAGCACTGAATGTTAGCCTTTAGAAACAGGAGGGATGGTACAGTCCACTTATTTTATAATGAACCAGGCTGAAGGGAGTTCAGTTAAACATTGCATTCAAATTTGCAGAACTACATTTTTCCCCCAATAAATAAGAGTGTTCAAGAGGAGAAAAACTGCTGCACTTAAAACCAATGGTAACATTTTAACTGGAAGATTTTTGTTTTATCAGTAATGTTTTCCCTGTCAGTTACTTGTCAGTTCCTTTAATCTGCTTTCCCATTCCAAGCTGTCTGCTACCTGACTTTAGCTACCATGACTTTCTTTTTCTAAACACTCCAACTACTAAATTCACCTTTTATCTGAATTCCCAGCAAGCATACATTGCTATTCATCATTTTCTTTCACCTTGATAGTTAAAAGTATTAACAGTAAAATTATGTACATAAGTAGGGAAATTTAATGTTTTTTTCTGTGAAATAAGACTTCTGTGTATTCATAGAAATCCAGACCACTGTAGTGTTACTTGATCTTAAAATGTTTATAGGTATTCCTTTTACCACCTTATTTCCACCTTAGTATTCTTTATTTTGTATATTGAAACTAAATAAGGGGACAAGCAGAATTCTTTAAAAAAAAAAAAAAAAAACTACTTGTTTACCATGTTCAAATTCATTTAAAATAAAACATTTTCTAAGTGCCAGTTTTGTGTCCACAGAAGGGACATGGAACAAAAAGCTTCAAGAAGCATGGGAGGCCTTTCTGACGGAACAGTGCCTAAAATATTTCAACATGATAGAACTATATTATTCTGAATATATTCCTTATACCACTTCAATATGTGAGAAGCGCAGCTAAATATATGCAACTATAGCACTTTTCTTCCATATGCACTTTAAATATAATATGTTTATTACTGTCACTTGTCATTTATCCCACATTCAGTGGTTCATGTAATTGAGTTTTCTGGAAGACAAAATTTAATGTCAATTTCCCATGGCATCTTCCCTCCAAAATAACAAACATTGCCTTGCCTTCTTAAATAGAGAAATAAGAATGAAATAATTAGTCAATTGAAATAATTATGCTCTGTAACTTTATTCTTTAATACCTGGTATGTTTTTTCATCTGCTTTAATGGTTTTCTGTTTCCACTATTTTTTAAGCTGCCAATGGCCATTTTTTATTGCTGGTATTATCTCATATTGAAATCATTTATATTCTTTTAGTCTGCTTATACTGCTTCTAGAATATTAAATGACCAAACCCAGGAATATTAAGGTATTAATATTTTATATAGTCCTATATATTTGATCTGCAAAATCATCATATTTATCTTAAATTATAGAATGATTTTAATTATTAGGAAGTTCACTATTAAAATGAGGCTTTAAAGTTTGTTTTTTTTTTAATCTAGTGAAACGCAAATTATGATTTTTTGCTATTTATTTACCTTGCTTTAAAGAACTTTCTGTAGCAAATTATTCAGATAATGGCTTTATTCTCATGATGTAGTCTGAAGAGAAAATACATGGAATTAGGATTAGCAAATAAGTGTTTTAGACCTAAGTCCCTATTAAGTAACTGTGGTGAGACTTAGTTGATATTCTTATGAGAGAATATTAGTCTTGCCCATTGTCAGGTTGTAAAGGTGGGAGCTCTGTAACTGGTGGGGAATAGTAAGTCAGTCATGTGGTAATTAAGACAGTATCACTTGGTATAACATTTTCAGACCATATTTTTCACTTTTAGCCTAGGTTTCTCAATGCTGTCATTTCAACATCAAGTAAATACCGAGATTCAGCAAAGTTGTCTCTCACCATAATCCTTCCAGGAAGTCCATTTATCTTGCTCTATTTAGTCTCATTGGGGGAGGTTGAATTTCACAGGGTGTATTTAGTTACTATTTTCACTTGCTGACTTAAAGATAAACATAGGTTTGTCAGGAACTACAGATAAACTTTCTTATTTTGGATTGGAAATATATTAAATTACTATCATTGCTAAAACATTTGGTTCCAACTTTTATATGGTAAAGGAGCATCAGATGAATAAGGGCAAAAGTGTACTTAGAATAATTCATAGAACTCGAGTGTGCTTATCATTTATCATTTTGTGTTTTGTGTTATAACTAGATTGTCTAGTTTTAGTTACTAATATAAAATTACAGCATCACCTATGTTTTTATGACTAGGACTAAACTCCAAAGGAGGCAATAAGACATTTTATATATATTATCACCTCACAGAGGTGATCATGAGAAAATAGGTGAAATTGTAATTTTATATTAGTAGCTAAAACTAGACAGTCTGATAACACAGAATACACATATTGTCACTAGGCAGTGTGGACAGCATCTACATGCATTATTTTGCTTTAAAGAATCAACAGTTTTATTTTACTGGATTCCCAGATACAAAGTATAGCATCTCTTTCATTATAAAACTATCTTAATACCAATTTCCTTTTCTATAATACATATTTGCAGTGGGTTTGAAGCACTGTGTCATAATAATGGGTTTGATTTTATACAGTTTATCAGTGTCTTCATGTACTCCTTCCACAGATCAGTCAAATACAGGTCGAAAATTTGTACTACCCAGTTAGGCCAACAGCGGTTGCATCTGTATTGGCAATGCTCAAACCTTTTTCTTTTCTTTGTTCCCTAAAATATTACAGTATAACAGCTGTTTACGTGACATTTATGTTGTATTTAGTATGATAAGTAACCTGGCAATGACAAAGAATATGAAAGAATGTGTAGAGTAGTGGCAACTGCAATCCCATCTTATGTATATTATTCAGATTTGCTGAATATTGGTATTTACTTGATATTGAAATAACATTGAGAAACCTAGGCTAAAAGTGAAAGACATGGTCTGAAAATGAGTTATATACACAGTTATAGTCTGAAGTGCCACATGATTGTCTTACCATTAGCCACCAGTTACAGATTGTATCTATGGTGTCCCGGAACCAGTGCTCCTCAGATACCAAGGGACGTGTCATCAATTAGTTTGTCATCACTCTTGGTCACGGTGATGATGTTGGATAACAGTACAGCTCAGGATCTGCACCATCCCCTTCCACTCCTAGCACTTAAAAAAAAAAAAAAAAAAAACCATCTAAGAAAACTCATTCACTTCCTAGTATGTAGTCAAAAATGTGATTCAAAAGTCATCTTTCATATGAAGGGGAAGGTATACTTTTGTCCTGTTTTTGGTTATTTATTAAAAAAGAGGAATTCAGAACTTGAACATAATTCTAATGTGTATGTGAAACTATGAATACTTTTTTATCTGACTTTTCTAGGAAATGAAAGCAGCAATAAGATTAGTGATTCTTCTAGTTACAATCTAGTTACAAGATTAGTTACAATCTTCATCTATTTCTAAGTGATAATAATAAACTGCTTAACCCTGTGCCATAATTTGTGTTTCAGGTTCTTAGTCATTTTTGTTCCTTGACCTTGACTTATGATTTAAACCAGTGATTCTCAAAATACAGTTCCTATATCAGTAGCATCAACATAATCTACTGATAATTCCTGATGCACACACTAAAGTTTAAGATTATGTCCCAAATATGAAAGACCTTCATTTGTTTGTAAAATAGTTTTCTGTAAATTACTAATTATCAAGTTAAAACTCATTTAATATTCCTACAGCATAATTGGTAGATTTAAATCTTTAACATAGGAATGCCAGTCTATTATTACTTGAAAGTATTTTAAAATACCAGTAGACACAGCTTATTCATTCACTTATTCAAATATTTATAAGCGCTTGTGTATGTTCCCTGTAGGAGATGTAAAGGGACCAAAATAGACAAAGTTCTTTCATTTTCCCGTTGCTGGGAGAGGAAATACTTAATATTTAGGGGTGTATAAAGTTCCTGGGGATGGTAAAAAACATGTGACTACAAATGAGTGACTTAACACAGCATATATTTCCTTCCTCATAGTTGTGGTGCTTGCTGGCAGTTGTTGAGTATTAGTTGACTTAACAGATGCATCACTCCAGCCTTTGGCCTACATTACATGCCCACCCTCTGTGTGTGTCTGATTTCTCTTGGCCTGATAGTTTGTTCCTCATTGTCTCTGTTGCTTGAATTTAACTATAGTAACAAGGAGAAGACATACTTTGCACACTTTGCTTAGAAATTTCCTCAGCTAAATATCCAAGTTCATTGCTTAAAAGTTCTACCTTACATCTTCTGCTGGAACAAGCTTTATGCCTCTTTAAAACAAGGACTGTAGGGCCTCCCTGGTGGCACAGCGGTTGAGCGCTGGGTTGCGAAGCTGCCCGCAGCCTCTGCAGTGCTGGTTCGATCCCCGGCTGCTCCCCGGCCACCGGAGGAGGGTCCCACATGGCGCGCAGACCCCTCCTGCCGCCGGCTGCTCCCTTCAGCAGTGTACTTCAGTCTGCCTGTTCTGCTCCCCGCTCTGGCTCTGGTGAATTCTCTCACCCTCCGTTCTTCTGACTGTACCCAGTGCTTGTATAAATACATAAATAAATCTTAAAAAATAATTAAAAAAAAATGGACTGTATTTCTTCTAGTATTCAATAACATGGTCTCCATTTCCATCTGAGACTTCCTCAAAGGCATCTCCAACATGTGTGTCATCAAGCATTGTGTTCACTATACACACATTGACACAGATGGAAGTGAAGAACATGGCAGGAAAGATTCTAGTTAGTCTCACCAAAATCACCTGTAACATTCCTACTTCTAACTAATCATCTTTCAAGGTAATGCTGGCTTTTCCTGTCAAGAACCTTAAGATTATTCCAATCTTAACCTATTACCCAATTTGAAAGCCACTTCTACCTTTTTAGGTATTTCTTATACCACCCCACTCTTGATACTCAAATCTGTGTATCAATTATGATGATTAATGAGATCAGCCTACATTAACAAGAATAACCTATATAGAAAGTCAACTAATTATAGGTATTAAAATTAACTCAGCTACCTTCATAGCAGTACCTAGGTTAGTGTTTGATTAAATAACTGAATGATGACCTAACAAAATCAACACACAAAACCAGCAGAGAGGGAAAATATGGGAGGTGAGATGGGGTGAGTTTGGTGGTTATTTTATATCAAGTGACCAGGGAACATGTGACATTTGATCAGAGACATTTCTAAAATATCTTTTTGGCCAAGTTATTTTCAAATTATGTTCATAGGCAATGGGTAATTTTTTTTTATTTGGTTTTTATTACCAGCTGTTCTTTTTTTATTCTGACTTATTATAGTAGAATCATTTTCTTATATAGCATACTTAAGTTTAATGAACAATTTACTAGCTAAACCAATAGAATGAAGGTCCTTTAAATGGTATCAGTAACAATAGTAATTGATGCACTCATTTATAGACCAATTCTATTCTGCGGAGGAAATTCTTTTTGCCTCAAAATTAAATAGGGACTATTTTAATTAGTGCACCAACCTGATAAATGGGGCTTTTAAAACTGTTCCAGTTTGCGTAGTGTTTCCATTATATAAGTGGTTATCTCTAGGTTGCATAACATAATCTATATGAAATTCAGCATTTGCTTAATTTAATAAGCTCTTGTAAGAAAAAGTAAAGACCACTATCTTTTACATGGTGTTGCTGCCCTGCCTGCCTCTATATTGTGTAAGATTTTTCACTTTAAATTTTAAGAAGGTTAAGAAGGGCCTTCAATTTATTTCTTAATTTACTTTTTTGCCTATATCATGGTTTTACTTTTTAATTTAGGCAATCTGTTTGTCCTATCTGAATTTGACTTGCTTGCTCATCTTTTTCTTACCTGGATGCTTTCTCCTTTGTGCCAGATATCTGCTTCTTGCCTCTAAGAGAAAATATTCTGTAGTGTAAACAGGGGCCATGTCCTCTGCTTCTAATGTTCCATGATTGCCAAATTGAACATGCTTTCTATTATCTCTGCCTTCCCAGCTGTTTCAAGTGACTTCAGTGTTTACACACAGTATAGTCCATTTATATTTAATGTTCTGTTCTAAGTGTCCTCATATGTTAATAAGTGTCTTGCTTCTTGAGGATGTTTTTGTTTTGTCTTGAGATAAAGTCTCCATTCAAACTGTTTAAAAACCTGTAGACATTTTCCTATTATGAAAACCAGTTTGTGACATTGTTTTACTCACATGAACTCTTTTTGTCCTTTCTTCCCACCCACATATCCCCTGTTACTTGGACATTTTTTATCTATATTAAATAACATGAATTTTTGAAGATTTAATGTGATGTCAAATTCATTATTTTTCCTCTTACAGAATGTTTGATGTGGGAGGGCAGAGATCTGAGCGGAAAAAATGGATTCACTGCTTTGAAGGAGTGACCGCTATCATCTTCTGTGTGGCACTGAGTGACTATGACCTGGTTCTAGCTGAAGATGAAGAAATGGCAAGTAGAACCACTTTTTAACAGTTTGAGCATGAAAATGTTAAGAGCTGGAGATGTTGCCAAGATTTTTCTCAGAAAATTTATTGTGAAAAATTCTGAGAAAAATGCTTGAGAAATTCTTGCTAATGCCTAAATTGAAAGTTCAGGCTCTTTCCTCTAACTTTTGTTTTTGCACACTAAAAGAGAGGAAAACTAAAGAAGCACAGATGAATCCTTAGAAAAAGGGAAAGACTAAGAATTATTTCCCCCACCCCCAGCCCTATGTGCTTGTCTACACATTTTCTGGCTAAATACTGAATGCAAATGAAGGTAGTTCCATAATAGTCCATGGCTCATTTTTAACTTACATCTGCCAGCTCAGTAATCCTTAGTCCATGTTATACTTTGCTACTGCCAAGTAATTTTCAGATGTGTTTCACTGTACCATTAGTCTGGGGGAAAGTTCATTTTAAATTTACTTTAGTACAGATTGGGGGGGGAAGGTAGAAATGTTGGTTTTATTATTTTATAATCACGTATAGAAGTTCTAGTGCAGGAGGTTCAATGAGCCATCATGCATTTATTTGGGTACTGTAAAATATACTAGTGCTCTTTTTGAAACCACAGGTATTGGGAAGATCAGAAACAGAATTGGAGGTTTTCTTACCTAACTTACCATTGTATTTAAGGTGTTGGGCTAATTGTGTTTCAACATGTTCAGTTAATTTATTAATCTTAAGAACCTCTATCTTTTAATGGAAACTTCTTTGATTGACTCTCTAATAAAGAGGTCTTTTCAAATACTTGCCCTTGGCTGGATTCTATGGAAGCTGTGACAGGCAGTGGGCACTCAGCCAGTATTGGTTGAATGCAAAAAGTAATGCGTGATTAGACACCTAAAAATGTACTTTGCCCTTAGATGGCAGAAATGTATTCTTGTGGTATGTCATCTATTTTTAAGCTGACTAAGCTGTATTTTTTTTTAGCAATAGTATTTCTCAAAATCCTTGACATGAGTGATAAACCAGTATATTCTTTTCTACTACAGAACCGAATGCATGAAAGCATGAAGTTGTTCGACAGCATATGTAACAACAAATGGTTTACAGATACATCTATTATACTTTTTCTAAACAAGAAGGATCTCTTTGAAGAAAAAATTAAAAAGAGCCCCCTTACTATATGCTATCCAGAATATGCAGGTATTTTTCTTTCTGTAGATAATTTGTCAAGTTATATATTTCTAAGTGAAAGCTCCCTAAAGCAATACACAAGCTATTGATGTAAATTTCTTGGCTTAATCTTACCTTTAAAGGAAATTATTTATCAAACTGCATTCAAGTACAAGTAGTTCCTTGAGTTGTGGATAAGATGGAAAATAGCAGCCATTTTATGAAAAAGCTCTTAGATAATTTTCTGTGATGTCTCCAGGTTTTCATAAATTTAAAATATTGATTTGTTCATCTAGTTAACAGTTTTTACGACATGTATTATGTGATGCACAATGAGTAAGATTTATCTTTGGTCTTTGTCTACTCTGAGACAAGCGTACTCTTTAATAAATAGTAATAGTGCAACATGCTACCACAAAGGAACACAAACAGTAAAAACAATAATTGTAAGGGAGAAAAATGAAGAAATTGGTGAGCCTATTAACTCCTCAGTTAACTGTTAAGAAAGTCAGGGAAGGTTAATGGTACTTTAATTTTACTACTGTGGAAAAGGCTGAGTATGAGGAAAGGTGACTTTAGGTACAATCCTGGCTTTTCCATAATTAGCTCTTCTATCTTAAAGCAAGGCAGTTAATCTACCCGTCTCAGTATCCTATCTGTAAAATAAGGAGTTAGGGTAAAGCACAGACTACGTATATTAGTTCATTGGATCACTTCCCTAGGCTACTATTGAAAGTAGGTACAGGTCTATGGCATTACCACTGTGAATGCCCCCAGTCTCAATCTAAGTGGTACAGGGACACAGATACTTATGGTCCCCTACCCTCCTTGTACATAGTCATCAACTTAGCTGTCATCTGTTTTATATATTGGATTTCTCAGTAAGATTATTTTTAATAGTGTTCCCTTCATTAAGGTTTAGAGTTTGACCTGTACATCTAAATATTCTGAGAAATTTGACTAATTTAGCTAATTGATGAGTTAGTAAACCTCACTCCATCCTTTGTTTTAAAAAAAGCTCAAGAATTTGTTTCATTATAAACAAAATTTTAGTTTCATATTAAGTGAATTATATAGTTTTTACTGCCTTTTCATAGAAGTATTGAACAAAATTAAAACAAATATGACATCAGTATGCTATAGCCCATTCTCACAGGTGAGAACACTGGGGTTTAATGAAACAACAAAGAGTTCAAATCCAGACCCAAGTTTGTTGTACTACAATATCCACACATTAAGAACTAGACTACATTTCATTAAATTCTCATTGGAACCAAAGGGACAGGACTTTTTGATAAATATAATCACAATAGTCATTATTGCAGCCCTGTTCATATTGTGCAGCATTACACAGTTGACCCATAAATGAGTTTGAAGTACATGGGCTCACTTACGTGTGGATTTTTTTTCAGTAAATATACGGCAGAATACGTTGGAGATTGCAGCAATTTGAAAACTGCAGATGTCATCTATACTTTCCTTTATTCAGGACAGTTCTATCACATTAGAGAAAATCATTTACCCTTCCCCCCACCCATATACCTTAAGACTTAAAATCATAAGACTTAAAATTGTTTGTTCATTTATGTACCTTATGGCTCTTGGGGTTCAATAATTAACTAGCTACCCAGAATATATGCAGCAGATTGAGCTCTGCGCTCAATGCAAGTTATTCACCCATGTTTTTAATTTAGAAATTGCTCTAGTCTCTGTGAGACAAGATAGTGTTTATTATATAATGCAGAACTCTAACCTTACTATAATTATTTTTTTTAATTTGATATGTAAAAATATATGGTTTTACTTATGAGTGACTTTAGAAGTATTAAAGTCCCAGAAACTTAAAACCTACGAAGACAGAATGATGAATAACTACTGGTAAATGTGATCGGACCACTTAATAGTAACGCGATCAGATCAGTACCAAAACCATCCAAGAAACTAAGTCCAGGATCTTATAGCTTCACTAATAAATTCTCTCAAACTTTTCCCAAAGATTAAAGAGAGAACTCTTTTCCAAAACCAGATAAGTTTGCCACATGAAAATCACAGGCTGGGGGCTCCTTGGTGGTGCAGGGGTTAGTCTCAGCACTATCAAGCTATTTCCACTCACTGCAGCCTGAGTTAGATCCCCAGCCAGGGAGCTGACCCACATGGCACAAAGACCTCTCCTGTCCTGCCCACTGCTCTCCCCAGCAGTATATTTCAGTAGATCCACCTGTTCTGCTCCCCACCCTGTCTCTGATAAATCCTCTCACCTCTGGCCTAGACCCCAGTTCTTGTGTGCATAAATAAATTACATAAATCTTTAAAAAAAAAAAAGAAAGAAAATTACAGGCCAATATCCTTGAAGAACAAAGGTGCAAAAATTTTCAACAAAATCATAGCAAACCATGTCCAGTACATTAAAAGGATGATGCTGGTCTCTGAAAAACTTGCTTCCAAGATGACTAAGAAAAGAAGGATTAATCGTCGTGCCAAAAAGGGCGATGGGCATGTTCAGCCTCTTTGATGCACAACTTGCGGCTGTGTGTATGTTCAAGGACAGGGCAGTTATGAAGCTCATGGTTGGAAATGTAGTGGAGGCCACAGATGTCAGGGACATAGCTGAAGCAAGCGTCTTCGACACCTATGTGCTTCCCAAGCTGTAACTGAAACTACATTACTGTATGAGTTGTGCCATTCACAGCACGGTAAGTAGTCAGGAATCGTCCTTGTGAAGCTAGAAGGATAGAACACACTCCCACCCTGATTGAAACCTGCAGGTGCTGCCCTGTGACCTTCAAAGCCCTTGTAAAGGATTTCAGTCCTTGAAACTAAGTCCTTAAAGACTGAAGAAAAACTACTCTGAGGAAAAAAATAATGGAAATTTTACTTAAAAAAATAAATCATACACAATGATCAAATGGAATTTATTCCAGCATCTACAAATTAGTGTGATATACCACGGCAACAAAATGAAGTATAAAAATCACATGATTATCTCAATAGATGCAGGAAAAGCATTTGACTAAATTCACCATCCACTGATGATATAAACTGTCATTACAACATAATCAAGGCCATGTATGACACGTCTATAAGCTAATAGCATACTCAGTGGTTAAAAGCTCAATTATTCCCTTCCATATCAGGAATAACAAACATAAGGATGCCCACATTAACACTTTCATTCAACATAATATTGGAAGTCCTAGCCAAAGCAGTTAGACCAAAAAAAAAAAAAAAAAAAAAAGGAAAGGTGTCTAAATTGGGAGGGAAGAAGTAAAGCTGACACTATTGGAGATGGTGTATTACCATTTAGAAACACCCAAAAGCTTCACCAAAAAAACCCTTTAGAACTTAGTAAATAAAGTTAAGTTGAAAGGTACAAAATCAGTACAGAGAGTTCTGTTGCTTCTAGATACTAATAACACATTCTCAGAAAGAAATTAAGAAAAATAGTCCCATTTACAGTTGCATCAGAAATACTAAATATCTAGGAATAAATTCAACTAGAAGGTGAAAGAGCTCGACAGTGGGAACTATATAAAACATTCAAGAATGAATTTGAAGACAGAAATGGAAAAATCTTCCTTTCTCATGAATTAGAAAAAATATTGTTAAAGTGTCCATACTGCTCAAAGCCATCCACAGGATCAAGATAATCCCTATCAAAATTTCAGTGGCATTTTTCAGAGAAATAGAAAAAAAATCCTAAAACTTATATGGAACTATAGCTAGCTATAGCAATCTTGAGAAAAAAGAGCAAAGCTGGAGGCTTTACTTTGTACACCTTGATTTAAAAAGCATAGTATCAAATCATATGGTATTTGCATACAACAGACACTTAGGTTAATGGAACAGAGTAGAACCCAGAAATATACATATATGGTGAATTTATGAGAAAGGAACCAAGAAAGGAATCAGTTCAATAAATAGTGGTGGCAGAACTGAATAGTCCTCCACAAGACAATGACACTGAACCCTGATCTTATACCATACACAAGAACTCATTCAAAATGGAGTAAGACTTGAATGTAAGATCTGACACTATAAAACTCCTAGAGGAAAATATGGACAGTAAGCTCCTTGGCAGTGGTTTTGTGATTTGACACTAAAAGAAATACAAGCATATCCAAGTAAGAGGGAATACATTAAATTAAAAAGTCTCTGCACAGCAAAGGAAACCAACAATACAAAGGCAACCCACCAAATGGGAGAAAGTGTAAACCATGTATCTGGTAAGGGATTAATGTCAAATATGAAAACTCAAATTCAGTTGAAAAAATGGGGGAATCTGGCATTTGAAGATTAAGAGAGGGAAAAAGATGATGGGGAGGGGTGTTAAGTGCTACATTCACTAAAAAAATAATTAGGTGTTTTTCATTTAGAAAAAATAATTTAGGGCCTCCCTGGTGGCGCAGGGGTTAGTGTCAACGCTATCAAGCTACTGCCAGCCCTGCGGCCTGAGTTCCATCCCCAGCCAGAGAGCTAACCTACACGGGGCAGCAGACCTCTCCTGTCTTGCCCGCTGCTCCCCTCAGCAGTGTATTTCAGTAGATCTGCCTGTTCTGCTTCCCTCTGTTTCTGGTGAATCCTCTCACCGCTGCACCTCTAGCCTACACACCCCAGTTCTTGTATGAATAAAAATAAATTTAAAAAAAGAAGAGTTTAGTTATAGAAGAGAAAATATAAGTGCACACATTTTATATTTTATGTTATGAAATTGACTTCAGTATTTTAAGGTCACTTTTGCTTAGCTATATACTCTTCATCTTATGTTTCTTTCCTTTCCCCAATCTCAGGATCAAACACATATGAAGAGGCAGCTGCATATATTCAGTGTCAATTTGAAGACCTCAATAAACGAAAGGACACAAAGGAAATATACACCCACTTCACATGTGCCACAGATACTAAGAATGTGCAGTTTGTTTTTGATGCTGTAACAGATGTCATCATAAAAAATAATCTAAAAGATTGTGGCCTCTTCTAAGTGTTGCAGTTAACAGTAACAATGCATTTCAAACCAAAAGAGTACTTCTATGTGGATCTCTTTAGACTAGAGTCTTGCAGCAACACAGAATGTAATATATGGCAAATGCATCTGGGACCTGACCAAAGTTGTTCAGTTTGTTTTTTTTTTTTTTAACTGAAAGTAGCAAAATTACCTTTCTTACATGTGAAAGGTGATCTGCAATATGAAACTAAGGACAGTGTTAAAGCTGGGCTCTAGTATATTGATGATTTCTGCATAATTGTAAATATGCAAATGTATGTATACACGTGTTTGTAACTTTAGTTTCCGCATTACTTTTAGGTTTTAAGAGTGACACCTTAGGATTCTAGCGTTAAGACTGAAAATAACAGAAAAGTGAAGTACTTTGTACTAAATGACAGACTATTATGTTTGCCAGTTTTAAACAGCTTTATTTATGTTCATGTCCTGTAAATTTTTAAGTACAGTAATTACTACTAGGCAAAGTTACAGCCCTTATCTTGATTATATGTATACTTGTAATCATAAAAATGTTATTTGTACAAACATTGCACAGACTATTTTAATAACATGATTTGTTCTTTAAATTTAATGTGTTTTATTGAAATGTTCTTAAAGAAGATGAATATACTTGCCTTTGGATCAGTTATTTAAACATTGTATGCATTTTATTTTCTCTTAAGATTGCATGCTGATCTCATTCTATACTAGATTTGGTTTGAAAAACTAAAATTTCAGATTTTTGAGGATATACTCTGTTATTATAGACTTAATTTTTATTCAGTTGGTTTGTTTTCACTTTGAATTTTAATATTTGAATGGTATTCATACATTGCCTTAAAGGCAATGCCAGATTACTTTTTATACACTTTAAATAACTACATTTTTATTTATAACTAAGTTTAGGTGGATATTGAGAGCATTTTGTGGATTAAAAAATATGTCAGCATAATGAATTTTGAGACATTCATTTGTGTATTTCCTTTGGGAATTCCCTTGTACCTAGTATACATGATAGCTCCTTGTTTGGAAAATGACAAGAAAGATCTTTGCTTACTCTGCTGCTGATATAAATGCAAGCTTTAAATTCATAAATGTCACTATGTTACAAATTTAATGAACACACTATTAAATTTACTTTTTCCCTTATTCAGCTGTCCTCCACTTGCTTGAATATGTTGCTATTTCTGGGAATCAAATGGACAATTACACTTAGAAAATGATTAATAGTATTTAAATAAAGTCAGTGATTGTATGTGCAAATAAGTGTTGCATATCAGCTAGTGTTGAACTTGGATTGTCTGTTTTCTTTTTATTATTCAGTGTGTTTCTGTAATCTCATTTCAGCAAAATGAATAGCACTGCTCACTCTACTTCCTCTTATATTTTAACTCATCCTGAAAAATTTAATCTTTCAATAAGCTTCACTGTTAAGTAGTTTCTCTTTAGTTATGTATTCTATCATTTTGTTGAAGTATAATTGTTGAAGTATGTGTGTGTAGGTAACCACAATCTGCATCTGTTTTGTTTAGGGGATTTTTCCTTCTTTGTAATGTAAAGAAATTCAAATTATTAAGAGTCCTGAAATGCGTTAGATTCTTTATGTGCCTTTCATGAGAGAGATGTTTTCATTAATTTTACCGATGGAAGACGTAATATCCATATTGTGAAGCTATGTATGAAATTCTGTTATATGCTGAATAAATTTGAATCATGAGAAATAGTTTAAAAAGCCACAAAGAAGCACATATTGGTGAACATCATTGATGAATTCCTGAACTTTTTTCTGTGTTCTTGTGTTGCTAAAAATCCTAATAAATTTAAATTTTTAAAATTTTATAAACCTGTTGGCTAAACATGTTTTACATTAAGATCAAAGTATCACTCTATATTATGTGTGTTTCTTTATGCTCTCTTTTTGTGATTTTATCTCCAGAAGTTTTTCTTCCCATTTTTCTCAGGAGATGTAGTGCCATATATGGAATTGTCTGCTTGATAACCCCTTTGGAGAATTTATTTCCTGCTCCATCTCAGAATGCCCAAAATCAAACTCATCCTCATCTCTCTTTAAACCAATTCTTACCCTCTGACTTTACCACTGTAACTGACCATCATTCATTTAATCCTTTAATGGGGAACATTTTGGCCATTTGGAACACTTGTCCCTTACCTTCAACTCTAATAAACCATCGTTTGCTCACAATTCTACTTTTTCAGTGCCTCATATCCGTTTTGTTTCATTTTTTCCTTTCTATCCTCATTGTCACCCACTGAATTCAGGTCTTTGTTTAGCTTCCACTAAAATGGTGTATTAATTAAATCCCCACCTCCCATTTCTCCCCTTGCTAATCCACGTTAATTGTCTAATGTAGCAATGCAATATAGGCTTTTCATCATTTGACCAACTTTACTACTTCCCCACTCCTCTCCCCAAGTAGTCTTTTGTGCAAGCTTGGGCTTTTCTCCCAAGAATTATACTACAGACTACCTGAGATATGCTCAAACTGTCCAGAGCATGGGGAGTGTTCCCTCAGGTCTTAACGTTATTTTTATTCATTTGCTCTTTGGCCATATTTTTCATATTCAACTGGAATATGTTCTTCAGTTTGCTCTGTGGGGATTACATGATTCTAGTAGACCTTTCACTCAGTCTCACCTTCTTGGCCAGGAACTCAGACCTGCTCGTTCCCAGTCCCCCCGTCACTGGGCAGGTGATCCACCCTGTACCAGTTGTAGCCCGAGTTCCCATTCCTAAGGTTCCTAAAGCTGTTCTGGTCCCTATAATTACCTTCATTCCCCTAAGTATCCTTCAAAAAAGCCCAATAAAAAGACTGAAAACACTTCCATTACAAAGCGAGTTCTTCAAATGAAGAAAGCAATTGTAATTGTTAAAAAAAAAGAGACAAAGTTGTTGAGCAAAGATCTATCAGAGCAGATTTCCCTCTATGGCTGATCTAATTAAATCCAGTTCAATCATGTCCTGAAAATGTCCTAACTAAAATGTTCTTACTGAATGTCAAGATTAACTATAAGATAGAACAAAAAAAACTCAGAAGTTAATTAACTTCAGCAAGATCAGATCAAGGTTTCAAAACTTTTGACTGCATGTGTGCCAGAGAATATCAGATATTCCCTTATTTCCAGAAACCATGTAAGTTATTCACCTATCTCCATTCTCAGCTTTGAACCATACATTTTTAAAAAATGCATATGTCTATCATGTCAAGTAGCAAAGCTAGTTATTTTAACTCCCATCTGATTAGAAATTAAAGGGGATGGAAAGTTATATACATTTTTACCATAAAACCACTCACAATGCCTTAAACTTAGAAAAATGTAAGCAATATTGCATATCGTTAACATCTTCATTAGTGTGTTATATCAGAGGCAAGTAGAAATTAGTGGTAATGACCTAAGCTCAGGTGTCTGGGTTAGTTCAAATCTTGGCTCTCTTATTGGGCAACATTAGGCAAGTTATTTAATCTTGTTCTGCATTCATTTTATCATCTGAAAAAAAGTGATTCAATCATCAGACCATTAATGGCCGTCAGTATTTAAGTTCGTAATGCACATTAAGCACTTAAATATACATCTGATGTGGTAAATGCTCAGTATGCTTTATTGTTATTTGATTATAAAGAATATTCAAATTAAAATATAGCTCCTTTAGAATTATAATCAGTGCTGAAGCAATAGTTGTTGGCATGAAATTTGAGTGAAATACCTCAAAGAAATTCATCCTTACAGTTTAAATTTTTAACTATGTCATTAATAGTGATATTAGAAAATATCAATGAGGAAAAAATGCATCTCTTTAATCCACTTCCACATTCTTATAATTGAAAGTACGGGAGATGTTCCTTTAGTTTGGGCAATTATGTCTCTCTGTTTTTTAAAAGATTTATTTATGCATACAAGAACTGGGGTACAGGCCAGAGGTATGGGAGGTCAGAGGATTCACCAGAGACAGAGTAGGGAGCAGAACAGGCAGATCTACTGAAATACACTACTGAGGGGAGCAGCGGGTGAGGCAGGAGAAGTCTGCCGTGCCAGTGGGCAGCTCCCTGGCTGGGGGATCAAACTTGTGCTTTGTAGGTTGTGTCTTAACCCCTTAACCCCACCAGGGAGGCCCAGTTTGGGAAATTATCTCTTGCAGTTGCTATTTAAAACCCTATCTTAATATTAAAATGACTTTATGTCAAGAGTTTCATATCACAACTCCACTGGCCTACTTCCCAGGCATTTCCCCCTTACCAATAAAAATGGCTTTGGTGTCTGTTGTGATTACTACTATTTACTTGTGTTTTATAACTTTAAAAGTAACAACATACATTTCATCAAGCTCAAAAATATGTCACAGGCAGGAATCTGTTGCAATCATGCAGGCAGCCCTGCTGAGAACGGAAGTGGGACAGCCCTAAAGTGTAATAAACTTGAGTGTCATAGGTCAGGTCAAATATTTCCAATTTCTTGGATTTACTAGTCCTCTTCCTGTGTCTTCATACCAATAAAGTAAATTGAATCACTGCATTGCAAAGATCTCCCTTTCTTCAAATTAAGGATTCATTGTAATAGATTTAACATGAGACAATAGTGTTAGCAACACATGCTTAGAAGCCAGTGAAGCAGATTCTAACTACTATTTTAGCAAGTGATAAAGTGCTACTTTTAGTAAATGAAGGTGATAGTTCCTCCTAAAAGGCATAGTGCTTCACCTAAAAGAAAATGCATGGCGTATAACTCTTGAAAGTCTAAGAGTAAAAGTCAAAGAAATTCCCTTTTTAACTAAAGAATCCTCAAAGGGATTTTTATTCCTGCACAATTATACCAAGGATGTCTTCTCTATCTTACCAGGATTTCAAAAATTAACTATAATTTTGCTCCTATTTTACCCTAAAATGGCATGTTTGTACAATTTTAGTGTAAAGCTATTAAAAATAAACCACTGAAAATTGGATGTTACCTGGAATTTTCTGTTCTGCACTCTCGAATTTTAATTACTGAATTTTAATTATTTTCTCTAAAAACAGTAATTTCAGCTTTGATCCTTTCCTCACTTGAAAATTTAAAAAGAGTAAAGTCAAAGTCACTTTCAGACAATTCTGTCTTTAGTGTCATTAAATTAAGCAATACAAATGGTAGTTAATGAAAAGTAAAGACAGTTATCTGGAAGTGGCTTTGCCACTGGTAGTTCTGGTTCAAAGCTCACCCTTTTCCCACGGATACACCAAATTTTATTGTTACATAAGGAACGATTCGCTTGGAGGGGGAAAGAACCTGAATGCCTCCGACACCACTGGCCAGCAGAAAAGAGGGTCAGAGAGGCTGAGACACAGTCACTGCAAACCCCATCACCGACAGTGACCCATAATCAGGAAGGATCTCAAAATCCCAAACTCTAGGAGTAAAGGGTTTGAAGGCAACCTCAAATACCCTCAGTTTCTAAAGATTTGTACCTGAGTGACGAGCCCTTAAAACATGTAGCTTTGAAAGTCAATTGGGTTTGCAACCTTAAGACATACTAAGCTCAAGGAAACAGCAA